GATTCAAAAGTGTTTTACTGTTCTTTGCTTCTCTGTAGATTCAGCTATTTAGATCAGGCTAATTTTCAACTGGAGGAGATGAAGAGCTATTTTTCTCCCTGAAGGTTATCTCATTTGTTAAAAAACTGGTGGCAAACCACTGACTGCTGTCTTTTTTTTTTATTTAAGACAACAGCAATGGGGGAGGAGAGTTATATCTGGAAAACTCCCACGTGCAAAATCCTAAGGTACTTTCCTGAAATAACAAATACTTTCATAAGTAGTAAAATGAACTTCACCATGGTTCTCAGAAACTCTCTTCTCAGCTGTACCAGAGGATGAGCTCATGAGGTTATGCTCCATGGCATTTCAGAGGGTGTATTTCTTGTAATAATACATTCAGAGTATGGTGTTTTTTCAGCCTTTACTGCTGTATTGAAGTTGGTTGGCCAACTTTCCCAAGGGGAGGAAAGACAGAAGCAAACTTACAAATAAAACAACACATTAGGAAGTGTTGGAAGTGTTGAAATTCCAGAAACCTTAGAAGAGTGGATCTGAGTATTCCATATTGTTGGTTAGGCTCTTAGACAAGGTTATTTTCGTAATTATTCTTCTTTCTAAAGGAAGTGACACTTATAGACTCTCCTTGCTGGATATATCACAGAACAGATATCATATTAGCTATTATCAGTTAGAAATTGCCTTTTAGGTTGGTTGGGATTTTTTATATTATTATTGCCATTGTTTTACTGAAGGAATTCATTGTCTATTGAATAATGATGGTACAAGCAGACTTCTGTCTGTAGTAATAGGCATGTCATGACTAGGAGGAGTAGCTTTAAAAGCAAAGTGTTGATATGTTGCTAAAGCTCACAAGGAAGTGCAGGCATCCAGAGAAAACACAGGATGAAATTTGTCTTTCTGATTCTTGCTGCTCCTGCAGCATGGCCTCGCTGGGAAAGGGAAACATTGGATGCACTGGGCAGCCATGGTGGGGACTGTCTTGAGACAAGCACATTTTCCTGAATACATTGAACTGTACATCCCAGTTCCCACTCTGACACCCATCTGCACTCCTTGCTGGAGGAGGAAGGCAAGCACTTTGGAAAATGCATTTGCCTTGAGCATTGAAATGGAGCTCCTCTAATTTGGGCAGCTGGACTGTCATGTATGCCATTATGTTTAAAATTAATGGTTGCAAAAGAATTAGGGGAAAAATAAAAGGAGAGATTAGTTCAGATAAATAAAATATAGAGCAAGCTGCTTCACAATCAGCACAGACTCTCTACAGGGATTTGCCTCACCAAAAAGGATGTCTTCCAGATTCCTTCCCACTCATCTTCCTTATGAGACAGTTTTTCTCCCCCAGTGCAAGGATGTGTTTGTGGCTTCTGCCATCTAGAATATCCTCCTTCTGTGCATGGCCTAAATGGCCTTTTTGCCTTATGACTTAGCACCTGCTTTTATTCATTGTGAAATGATTTCATATGCTTTTTAGTAAATGTGACAGGCAGTGCATTATGTACTGTCGTGTTTTATTTACTCCCATAAAGCATTATGGAATACAGTTAGAATGTGACATCCAGGACATGGTATAGTGCTGCATGGTGTTGTGTTGCAACATGGGACAGTTCACTGCCTTGAAAGATACACTGTCTTTGCCTATATCTTTTATTAAGTGCTTTCTATCCCGACTTTCCCCGTGGTAAATGTGTGATTTCCATGAGTTCCCCCCAGTGTATCTGATGAGGACAATACTTGTCTGCTTGGAAAGGTTTTATTTTAGTCTCATAGCTTTGTTGATACAAAAGGTATGAGTGTTGCTCACATCTCCTCAAGCTGTTTCCCAGATGCTTGATGATTCCTGTGGAGCCAACCTCCTAGGAGCAACTCTGTGCTGACTGTGTTTTATCTGTGAAATCCTAATGAAAATCACCTTAGAAAATTCTGTGGTGTTTGATTACAGTGCTGGCTACACCACTTCAAGTTGTAATTTAGTGCATGGTGAGGAGGCTGAGAGGGAATCAGGCTGTTTCAGAGCTCCTGAAAAGTCTGCTCCAGCATCGGGTGAAGGTTCCAAATAGCTTTAGATTTCATCCCATGTGGCTGTAGAAACAGTATTTATGACCATTCTCATCAAACATACTTTCTTTCTTTGTGGAAGGGGCTTTTCCTCAGAGTGGAGTATTTGAATATCCCTTATTTTACTATAGTGAGAATTTTATCCCCGTGCTTCTCTCCAACCTTTCTTCCACAATGACTTTATAATTGCCGCATTTACCATGATGGAAATAACAAGTTATTGTGCTTTGATTTTTAAACTTCATAACACAGGCAACTCTATTGCTTCATGTACCTGTACAGCTTGGATACTGCAGAGCTGTGCCAGCCATGACATTTCAGCACTAGTCTTGGTCAGGTGTGACTGCCTTGCAGGCAGAGCACTGTAGTCTGCGCAATTCAGATTTTAATTTAAATGAAAAGCTGTGACAGACCCTCTTCTTGATGTACAAGAGAGAAGGTAGTGTTCATTCTCAGTTGGGGTGGTATGCACAGATGTTTTGTTTGGGGGTATGTGTATGAGCACATTTTAGAGATACTGTCCCCAGAATTCTAATTTCAGCAGCTGACGACATGAGACTAAAGCCTGTGCTAGAACTGCCTGGGAAAAGGGAACCTTTCCCTCAGAATAATGAACCAGATTGGACCACACAGTAAAGTGCATGGTGACAGAAGGAAAATGACAATAGTTCACTGTTCAAGAAAGAAGAGTAATGGACTCTCATCTACAGGATGAGTTTTGCCATGCTTTACTGCAGTAATTTTTGTTCTGACTTAGGGAAGGGTTGTTTTTCACTAGAATTTGTTATCATCAAATCTGGTTTATTTTTATCCCATTTCTTGGATGTTTTGGATAAAGTCCTGTGAAATAGTGTCCTCTTAGTGTACTGGGTGTTTTCAGAGTTCAAAGGTCCTCAGGATTTCAGTAAGAGCTCAGTAGTGTTGGCTGGACATTTTGTTTCATTCCAGATCAGGGGAAAAAAACCCCACAGATGTCTTTTTTGCCCTTTTTTTAGAATAAAAGCAAATACAAAACAGACTTCAGCATAGATGTCCCTGATGAAAATAGCAACAAAACTAATAGGTGGGTGGTCTTTATTTTCACCAAATTGTCACTTTTCCAATGCAAATTGTTTGGTTAAAGCAGAATGAAACAAAACTAGTTCTGCACTTTTTGAACCAGGGCTATGTTTGCTTAGAAAGGGTGGCTCAGAGTGTGAGAGCATCTTAGAAAGATGTCACAATTAGGTCTGTGGAGATAGTTTTATAAGAAACATAGTACTTTTTTCTCCTGAGTTTCAGGTTGTTTGGAAGCTAGAATTACTGTGCTGTCAGAAGAGTACAATGAATGGTTAGACAACCGTGCTTTGTTTACAGCGGCATGCAGGGAGGTATTTACAGCCAGGAACCAGTGAAAAGCAACCTGAGAAATAGATGTACTAATCAAGAAGTTTGTACTTTTTGTCTGGATTCCTGGTTTCAATGAGCATTTATTAAACAAGTATATTTATTTCATATAAAGAACTTAGAAAAATTCAGTCACATGTTAGATTTTATTTCAAAAGTGAAAACTTAGATTAGTGTGTGTGACAGATAGCTGTGACTGGTTGCTTTGGTTTTGTATTTCCAGTATTCACAGAGTGGCCTGGTGGAGATATTTTTCCCCCATTTGTTCTTCTTCAGTAGCCAGATTCAGGAGAAGTATGCAGTTTTCTATTTCTATTGCTTGCAGTAGAACTGGAGGTTGACGTGGCATTCAGCAAAGTGTAGTGATGTTCAGTTTAAGATAAATACACCAGAGTTTGGGTGTTTACATGAAAACAAGTGTCCAAATTCATGTAGATCCCCACACATCATGTGGGCTAGGAGCACAGGTAGCTGTCCCAGAGGTAGAGGCTCAGAAGTACATGACTTGACTGGGAACTGAAACCTGCTGTGATCTGAATGTTGCCTTGGAGCCTTCTGATCCTCAAAATTTCTCCACACTGAAGTTGTCAATGGACAGAAAAATGGTTATTTACAGTTCTTTGATGCAAACTGACCCAAATTCCAGTATCGCAAACATCTGGGCAGTGCAAGTGCCTGGTGCAACTGAGAAGACATTTTTTACTTTTAGAGGTCTGAGTCTTGACACAGTTCCTGTAATCCTTGGAGCCATGGATTTACAGCAGCAGAGGTTTTACCTTGGTAAAAGTAAACTTTAGGAACAATTAAATATTTGCTCAGGCAAAAGTTGTGGAATTTTAATTAAGTAAAGGCTTGGCTATTTGTCTTGAAGTTACTGAGTAAGATGGTTGATGGGATAGGATCTGGCCTCAGTTACATTGGTATAAGCATGGAGTAGCTGTTTGAGTAACCAGACCATAGGCAGAAAATGGTTCAAACCATATAAATAAAATAAAAAATTACCTTTACATATTTTATATATATTTATAAATAAAATCAAAACATGGCCTTACACATGTTTCTGAGAGGAAATACTTAAGCACAGTAAAGAAATTTTAATTCAGCCATACTCACTTTCCTGCAGCCCTTCATTGCTGCTTTTGTTTAGAGGGCATTGCTCCCCAGAGCACAAAATTTGGGAAGCAGGACTATTTACTTTTTTTATTGCAGTCTGTCTTACGTCATTGTTCTCAAGCTTTTATTAAATTATTTTCTTGTTTTAAAACCAATGTGGTGAAAATGAACTTATATAATCAATATAAATGTAAAAATATAATTGTACATTTCTTGTAAAATAAAGAGTTTATATACTTGAGCTCTCTTGTTCTTACTGTTTAATAGGGGATTGAATTAAGAGAAAATACAGTGTACTTTCCATTTAATAACTGCTCCTAGATCCAACATTTTATAGACTTGAAATGCTAATAATTGTGCTGTGTTATAAACTGTTGTGTTTTTTGCCTTCCTGTAACTGGAACAACATACTAATTTCTACAAGTTGTGACTACTAACAGAGAGCAATCACCTCACAGACTTGTACCGAAAAGAAGAGACCATCAGCGTGGCAGGGAACGGCTGCATCCACAGTCCTCGCTTCCCCAGCAGCTACCCCAGGAACCTCCTGCTGACGTGGCGGCTCCACTCCCCAGAGAGCACCAGGATCCAACTGGCTTTTGATAATCAGTTTGGGCTGGAGGAACCCGAAAATGAGATCTGCAGGTGAGTGCCAACTGAAAGTTTGCAAAGGGTTCTTAAGACCACCTTTGAGCTCACTGGCATGAGACTGCGCAGCAAAATCAGAGCATCTCTAGATAGGTCTAGGATGTCCTTGAAAGGAGGACAGACCTTTAAGGGGCCCTCCCAGCTGAAATTAGTCTTTGAGTTCATAAATAAACGGAGCTGTCCTGGACCCGAAGCAGTTTTGTCAGGTTTTAATAGTATAACGTTTTAAGCGCAAGGTACTTGTATGCTCAAATCCAGCTATCTAACAACATAGGTGCTGCTTTAATGGGATTTTGTCCTCTATCACCTCTGTCACATTTCAGCTAGGCAAGAAACATCTTTTTCAGTAGGTGGAGGGCTCTAGAAGGTTTGAGTGAGTAGGTAAGCATTTATATTTGGGTGTGAGGGACAGATAAAAATGTATTGAAAAACAGAATTATGTTCAAATTACTTGCTTATCTTTATTTTTGCTCTTCACTGGTACAATGCCTTTTAAAACTTTCAAATGTAGGTCCACAAATGTCAGTGTACTGATGCATGCTGATGTATCTGTAAATCTGTTAAAGCCTACCCTATTATATCCCAGTTGCTTTGGTTCCCCTTTTAAACAAAAGTGACCTTAAGCTAAGCTGATCTGGCTGATGAACCTGGGTGGATAAACTGTTTTGCATTAGTAGAGTACAGAGGTGAATCTTGCCAGCATTCACTAAAACAGTATAAATCCATGTGTTTATATTTCTTTTATTCAGCCCTCTTTTCTGTGGGAGAAAACAGGCTCAGGATTCCCATGCCCTCCAAAAGGCAGATTTCTGTGATACTACTTACTTGAAATGCTCAAGTCTCAGCCTCCAACTCTGTGTGATCATGTTGTTACTTACACCTTATCTGTGCACAGAACTTGGTTGTTAGTGTTCCTGCACACCCAACCTCTTCTTATCTTATCTTTGTCAATTAATTTGTGTTTGTAGGGCTTGGCATCTCTGCAGGCATTTTACAGGATGGGTTTTTTTCCTTATTTTTCTTTGTTAAATTTTCTTTATTGCTGGTAGAGGGAACCGTTCCTGCAGGTTTGTTTTCCATGTAGTAATAAAAGAATGCAGCCTAAAATTGGCTCTCCTTCCCTGCTCCTTGGCAGGTCTGCTCTGGTGATGTTGGTCCAAGATCAGCAGCAGAGTCAGTAACAACAGTAACCTCCCAGTACCCCAAATGCTTTCCCAGATTCAGATCCTAAGGCACACAGAAGCAGCCTGTTAATATTTACATTGTGGATAAACTGTGGCTGACCTTAAAGCATTGCAACTTTGAAACAGAGGACTAATTTACTGTGGGAAAAAAAAAAAGATTAAGTATTCTCTGTCAAAAGCCATTAAAGGTGGTGCCACACTGAGGGAAAGTCAAGCTGTTACTGGCATTATGTGCTTGGAGAGCATCTTGGAAGACAGTCTGCTTGCTTTTTCCAGGGCACCTAATTTAGAATGCAGAGAAAAGCAAAGACCTTCCATCATCCATAGTGCTGGAGAAATATCACATCCTTTTCTGCAGTAAAACTTTCCCTAGAGTTTCTGGAAGGCCTTTATTTGGGTAGTATTACTTCCAGAGCAAGGAATTTTTTGGTCAGACAGATTGTGATGGCTTTAAGTCTGTTAAATACTGTATGCAGTTGGATGTTTTGCTAATGCTCAATATATTTTCCAAAACTAGATCCTTTCTGCAGCTTCAGTCCCTGACAATCCCTGCAGTGCTGCTTTAGCAAGACAGCCAGGACTGTTTTAATTGAAATGAATGCTGAGAGCTAAGCATATGCCTGAAGGCTGGGCATATTGGACAAGTAATTCAGCTCCTCTGCACCTTACCTTGCTTTTGTATTTGCTTTTGACCTTAAGCTTTTTTCTCCAGAAACTTCCTAGTGTTTTCTTTCAATTTTTCATTAATGCTAATTATTGTAATTTGCATACTATTAAGTCTGAACTGATTGAAATTCATCCAGGCTGAGGAATGAAAAGGTATATTTTAGCAGAGCTATATTTCTTCAGAGCTTCTGAAGAAGGAGAGGAAATATTCAAGGTCTTACAGAATGTTCAAGAAGTGCTGTTAGCATTTCCACAGGCACTTGATAAGAGATGATTCTGAAAAGCAATTAAATTACCCAGCCTCTGAGGCTCCTTGGATGCACAGAAGCAACTGAGAACACACCTACTTCCATGATCATTGCAGCAAAGCCTCTGCTGTTGAAAGCAGATAATCCTTGAAAGTATCTGGATTTTCCCTGGTTTTGCTGCTTAGTCTGGCTTCTGACATTCAGAACTGGGGAGGTCAGTCAGGACAGCTTTCACCAAAGCTTACAAGGTTATCTCCTGTCGAACACCACAACCCCTTGTGTTGCAATAGGCATTCACAGTTCCCTGCTTCCCAAGGGGCCGGAGTGGATCCTTGGGAGCTCTGCTGGGTACCACATCCATCGGCACCAGGGAGTGGGAGCTTGGGTTGGTGGAGGGAGATTGAGACAAGTTTACTTTGCTTGGAACTAAATCTTGGTGTGCTTCAAAAAAAGAATATTTCAGCAGAGTTTGGGCATGGTGGATCTGTTATTTTCTGTTCTGTGCAATTTGGCATTGGTGAATATAAAAGCAGCAGAGCTGATATTCTCAAACCACATAGTACTTGTGGTTTTTTTCTTATGGGCTCTCAGCAGAAAAACAAAAGTAGGTCTGTTATTTACAGAGCTATTCAACTCCCACAACTGGGCAGGGAGGAGGGTGCTTGGCCCACAGACTTGGGGGTGGGAAGCAGTGCATTGCTAGCAAGAATCACTCAACAGTCCTGAACTCCTTCTTTGGAGGGAGCAGATGCTTTGATAATAGAAAACATTCCTGGTAAAGACCTCCAGAGTTTTAAGGCTTAACTGTACTGTGAGGATGGCACTCAAGCTGCCCCTCTTGTCATCACCTCTGCCTCACTGGCAGCAATGTGTGGGGCCTAATTCTGGCTCCATAGATACTGAGAGATATTTTTTCATAGTTCTAGTAAAAGCAGAACTTCATTCTATGTCCCCTTTATTCTCCAGCTCAATAACTTTACTCGTTTATTTATTTATTTATTTATATGGTCATTTATACCCAAGCGGGCGAATGCGCAGGCTGGAGCAGTGAGTGCTGCCACTGTGTCCCTTCATCCTTGGGGTTTGGTGCCTTCTGCTTCTGGCAGAGCCTCTTTGGGCTCAGGTATCAGTGCTGTGGCACGGGTGCCTAGATGTGACTTTTGATATGCTGTTTCATTTTCCCTGGTGACAGCATGCACATGAACTCCCCGCTGCAGCACGCAGAGCAGCAGCATGCTTTCCTACTTGAAAGCTGGACATAAATATTTCCAAACCAGCTGCAGCAGCAATGTTCCACCTACAAGGAAGGTCCTAAAAAGCACCTTTCAGTATTATGCACTGCCCTGTGTCCATCCAGCATCTCCCTTTGCTCCTGGCACAGTGGCTGCCCTCTCTAGCCCTCTGACTGACAGAGCAGGCGGGCGCCTGTGGCTGCTGCTGCTGCTGCAGGGAGTAGGGTGACCACCAGAAAGTGCACAAGTGCTTGCAACTGCTCAGGTTGGGCAGCTTGCCTTAAATAATATTTTATCAGGTCTCTAAATTATTTACCCACCACATGAAACAGAATGGGTATGCTTACTGTATACTAAGCTCATGCAAGTGTCTCTTATTGCTCTTTTAACGTGGTAGCAAATACTGTCATGTTCCAGGAGCACAGAAATCAGTCATTTGAGTACTCAGGCAGTAGTTTGCAGCTTAGTGTATTTAGTGGCACACAATCTTGTCCACCATTTGTAATATTTAGTCTGATGTTTTGGAGAACAGGGGACAGTTGTCTTTGTGTCTCCAGCTGTGCTCCTGTCAATTTGCAAACACTGTCTGTAACCAGAGTCAGCAGAAATTGAGTCTTCATACTCTTTTTCAGGTATGACTTTGTGGAAGTGGAAGATGTATCAGAGACCAGCACAGTTATTCGAGGACGGTGGTGTGGACACAAGGAAGTACCTCCAAGAATAACATCAAGGACAAATCACATAAAGATAACTTTCAAGTCCGATGACTACTTTGTGGCTAAACCTGGATTCAAGATATGTTACTCTCTTGTGGTAAGTCTCCTAGGGGTACTAGGGATAAGAGACAGCTTGCAGTGTAAAAGAGCATCAGTTCTTGAAGACTGGATGGCGTAGCTAAATGTGGGATCAAAACACTAAATGACTGAAAGTAATTTTATTCTAGCAACTGCATTAATGCAGATCAAAGTATTTCTGACATTGTGTCATTAAATATAAAATAAAGTCAAGTTCAGTTCAAGATTTACTCTAATTACATGTTTCAGAAGCACTAACACTTTCTACACTAAAGCTGCACTGCCACTGCCTTGAGAGATGCTGCAGAAATAGCAAAGAAATGGCTGCTCTGTGAACCCCTTTTTCATGTTCATTCGAGGTCAAATAACAATACCTTGAGGGGTTATGACTGTGATTCTCAGATAAAGAGTAGTTTATCATGTATTCAATAGAAGTCTGCATGCAAGACAGTGTGCTAAGGCTCAGACTGTATTTTTAATCAGATATCAACATACCTCTGTATATGCAGAAGCATTAGTAGTGTGTCATGTACTATTACAATGAGATGAAAATCTCCTCTTTTTTTTTTTTTTTTTTTTTTTGGTTTTGCTTTTAGGGAGCGGGAATGCTCAGTACACTTAAGTAGATTTTGATACAAATATGTATTGCTTTGCATTGCCCTGATTAATATTATAATGCTTTTGGTGCAGTGTAGCTCGAAAGAGGCAGATTTTGCAAACACTCAGGAAATGGTAAGCAATAATTTATTATACTGTCATCGTTATATTTTCCTATCCATCATACTTCTTATTCCCTTTTTATTCAATCCACTGTCCTTTAACAAGAATAAGAAAGCCTGGAATAGCAATAACGTTGTAACAGGAAAGATTAATTGTTTGAGTCATTTAACTTCCTCCTCTTGGCTTTGCATGCATGTATGCCTGTGTGTGCTAAAAAGAGTCCATCAACAGCATATTGTCAAGACAGAGCAAAGCTATAAAGATTTTGCTCCCTTGCATTTAAATTGTTAGGCTTCTAGTGGAGTAAGGCATTAAATTGTAAGTACATCCTGAGCTCTAATTTGAAGATAATCTACTAAAACTCAGATTCAGGCAGAACAGTCTATGAAAGACCACTGGGCATAAAAATGAGAGTGAAGCAGCAGCCTTTCTTTACACTGTTTGTATTTCAGCACAGCCACAGAAACTCTGCTGCATTTAGCAAGTTTTATTCCAGAGAATATACAGATAGTCTGATAGTATTAGGCTTTCCAAAAATGAATGTTATCACTCCTAAGACACAGGACTCTGTGCACTAGAAAGCTCAGAAAAGGCTACTGTATTTATCTAATTTCAAAACTAGGGAGTAAATTTGCAATTTGCAATCTGAGAATTTGCAATCTAGCAAATCTATTTACAAGAATAATCTCTAAGTGCACCCTCTGAATGAAATACTGCTTTATTTCAGAGAAGAGCCCTGGTGGTTGATGGTATTTGTGAGATGGGGAGTGATTTTCAGTTAACTGCTCTTGAAATTCCGAACCATACAACCTAAAAGTGCAGCATGATTCTGTGCAGAATCAGCCCTTTTTCTATAGTCCCCACAGTCGCCTGTTCAGAGATATCCTGAGCACTGCTGACCCCTGAAGGTTGGACTTGCTGTGTGTTTCTAGTCAGTAAACCAGGGAGCATTAATGAAGCATGCAAAAACATATGGTATTTTCTATGAGATGAAATTAAGGATCTTTACATTGCCTTTTTTCCTTCACTTCATAACCTTCTCCAATAACAGGCTACTTTCTGGGGCCTTTCTTGGAACATGGTGCACAAGATATGCACAAATCTCTTCATTCCCTCGCTCTTTCTTATATTTGAAGTTTGGATCTGTGTGGTAGTTGTTTATTTGTATACCAGAGTCTGATAATTTTCCAGAGAAAATAGGTGATTTGGAATTTATTGATCAGCTCCATCTTCTGTGCATCATGCCAGAATGACTGGGTAAATTTCTCACAGTTACTCATGCAGCCAAGCAGCCTTGCAGCCTGACTCTTTGGCCTCTCATTAATAAATCTTCAAGGAAGTCAGTGAAGTTCACTACATTTGATGCAGATCAAGCTTTTACTTAGGTCAGCACTCTACATAAGGCACAAATAAGTCACCAGAGAGCTTAGCAGAAACGTCCTTCACTATCTTTATATATTTGTTTTTTTCTATTAACTGCACATTTCAGTGCCATTTAGTGAAACAGAAGGGGATTATTTTTCTAGAAAAGACATAAATTAGACTTGTATGACTTGTATCACATTTGCCTTTGTAAAACAAGGTATAGAAAGTAAATACCCCATCTAGGATGAAAGGGCTCGATGGGATTAGAATTCAGACTGATTCTGGAAAATTAGTCCAAGAAGATACAAGGATAGTCTTCAACAGTATAAGGTTGAAAACTGTATGGATACATGTGAATATTTAACTGTCCCAATATAAGAGACAAGGGACAGGGGAGAAAAATCTATAAAATAAAGTCTGACCACCTAAAAAAATTTAGCAACTTTTGCTTGTCAAGGCTGTCTCCCTCCACCTTCTTCCTCCTCTTCCCTCATCTTCTGTATTTTGGCACCTCTGCCTCTACTCTCTCCTCTGTGGGCCTGAGGGACTGAGAAGGCTGGAAGGGGACCAGTAATGATGGTCTTGAAGGCAAGGGACGGGTCCAGCATGCTGCTACATGCTGCCTGTCCCAGATCTGCTCTTCCCTCACAAAAGTATAGCATTCACTGGAGGTGAATCCACTCCAGGGTGGAACTGACTCCAGGAGTTTGTTAATGATTTGATTGTATCCCACTTCCCACTGCTGACCTCAAGTTGCCTGAGTCAAAAATGTCCTAACCTCTCTGGAAAAAGTCCCTCCTCCTGTGTGCTGGTTGCAGGAGGTCAGTGTACACAGCTGGAGGCTGGTCTCTACACTCCACACTTCACGTTCAAAGCCCCCATCTGTAGATGTGTGGTTTGTTGGCTTGGTCTGGGTATTTGCACAGAAAATTATTTCCCTTGAACCTCTTTAAAAATTGCATTTTTCTTTAAGGTTCACAGATCTAGAGCAAAAATGGTCTGGAGCAAGACCTAGACAACTATTAGGCATGAGCCTCATGTGATTGCAAATTTGTATGAAACTCCTCCCTGCCATTATGATTTAAAGCCATTATTTCTTAATATTTTTGAATCCTTTTCTTGAGTTGCCTTAGAGATACTAAATTGTATTGTAGAAAGAACGAAAGGTATTCTTGAGTGGTGGGGGGTTTTTTTTGTTTGTTTTTGTTTGTTTGTGGGTCTTTTGGGTTTTTTTTTTGTTACATTATTTTTACTCTAAGGACATAATCATTCACAACAGTGTAGAAATCCACGAAGCAGAGGAGGATAAATTTATATAATCCCCTTTTTCCTTCTGAAGTTCTTTCAATGTCATAATTCTGGAAAGGGATGTTAACAAGATTTGGTCCCATGTTTTACAACTTCATTTGCATGGACATTTAGTGAAAGAGTCTAAGAACTCATTCAGGAACATGTTTCAGCAATAAAGGTGTATGTTTGGAATTAAAATTCCCAACTCTGCATCTAATTTAATTTTAATGAGACAGCTAGAAAATGTTGGATTCCATTTGCTAATTAGAAACATTATTTAAAGTTTATTGTAAAAGGCACATATTTGTTATACATTTATAACAATAAATTCCTATTGCTGTACTAATTGCTTGATTAATCCTAAATGAAATCCATACTTTGGAATTTCGACTAAAATCTTTATTGGAAGCAAGAGGTACCAAAAAATCTAGGAACATATCTATATGTACTTGTATAAACATGTATATATATAAAGGTGTAAGGTTACTTATACATCTTTTTTACATACATACACGTATACTTGTAGATATGTGGTATTAAACAGGAGAACGTAAGAGCATTTCTCCCAAGATAAGCTTATGCTTCAAAATATCAAGGTGTTAAATCTAAGTAGTTTGGGCTTGTTTAAAAATTAAGTTTTTTGGATAAGGGAGCCATAAAAAATTAATGCAATGAAGGAGGGAGGAACTTTGAGTTTGGATTCTTATGTGAAATTTTATGGGGAATAGCTTTCTGCTAAACACTCTGTATATAGGTCACCACACGTACAACCGAAAAGAGAGCATTAGTCACAAACAGGGGTAAGACACTACAATAAAATTCAATCACTTTTCCATACAGAGAATATTGACCAGTCAAAGTTTGCTCAAACTCTAAGCTTAAACTGTTTAATACTTGCCTATTAAGCTCAGAAGAAAACAAACAAAATTGTAAGAGCAATCAGAAAATGAAAATGGGAAAAATAAGAAGCTGATCCTGATACTTGTACTCACTGCTATCACTCTGAATTAAGTGACTGGTTCCCCATATTTTACTACACTTCTCTGCACAAGCAGTACAGCAGCAGGCTTAAGGGTTTTTTAAAATAAGTCAATAAATAAATGCCCTTAAGAGTTAACACAATCACAAAAAGACTCACCAGTGGGAATACAGATCCATAAAGATTATAAGGAATGATTAATTCTAAGCTGAAGCCAGTCAGGAAGCTGCATGAGTCTGCTGCTGTACTTCTGATTTAGCTTGTCACTTCTTTCACAGAATGGATAGATAATTCATTTCTGTATCCAGGACAAAATATTCTGCCTAAAACTCCATGTAATATATCTCATGTGACAACAGGAGTGATAATAGTGCACCTACACCTTCCCTGCTATAGATAATCCACAGAAGGAATCCCAGTAAATTGCTGGGAGTACAAAGGAAAGAGAATGGGGTGGAGTGGCATGTCTTGGTTAATAAAGTGGTTGAACATGAAATAGATTTCACAACGAAGAAAGAAGAACTTAATTGTGAACTTTTATCAATTCTTTTGCCACTTTCTCTAACTTCAGTTTTGGTTGCCTGTCTATGCTAGACAGCGAAGACTTTATAAATACAACCCAAATGCAAAACAACAATCTCTATGATGAAATATCTATTTTCTTAAGTTTTGACATAAAACTATTTTCTGTGTTTTGCTCAAGGAAAGTCGTTGAACATGAAATAGATTTCACAATGAAGAAAGAAGAATTTAATTGTGAACTTTTATCAATTCTTCTGCCACTTTCTCTAATTTCAGTTTTGGTTGCCTGTCTATGCTAGACAGCAAAGACTTTATAAATACAGCCCATATGCAAAACAACAATCTCTATGATGAAACATCTATTTTCTTAAGTTTTGACATAAAACTATTTTCTGTGTTTTGCTCAAGGCATACTATCTCCATGAAATTATCTCCCAGAGGCTCATCTTTCAGGAGAGAAGTAATTAAGTCCTAGGCTCTAATTAGATGAGACTTGCTCAAAATCTTTAACATTACTTCTCCAACTTCACACAAGCAGAGAATTTAAGAGATTATCTATGCACCTTTCTTTTTTAACTTTGGAAGATGTTAAAATTTTTAAACACCAACATAAAATGACAGCATGTTAAAAAGAGATATTACTTCTTGGTGCATCTTGAGACATGAAATATCTCAGAGTAATTTTATATGGGGAGGAGGAATGCTTTCTATTTAATAAGGGTTCCTGAGAATCCAGCAATCCTCAACCTGCTGTGTAATTCACAGGACCTAACCTGTCCTTCAGCAAAGTTCGATGAAGAAAGGAAGGTGGCATGGTAGAAAAGCAAAGCAGTGTGGTAGACAGGCCAAGTTCTGG